GGAAACTTACATCCCGTTCGTCACGCATTCATTTCTGTGGGGGAGAAATGAATGCGTGACGAACGAACCCCAAAGGACAACTGCGGGGAGGCTAAAAAGGATAAAGTTCGTCACAATATTCTGCAGGATCTTCTCACATGAGCCTAAGATGTAAATGTGACAAGTCAGTCATGTTGAAACAGCGAAATGTAGCCTCGATTTCGAAAAACATCCGTCCTCAGATACCGAGGGGCAGTCAGTCTAGTTACACATTATTTTTATGGAGGAATTGTCGTATATGCTTACCCAATATTTTGTTTCCTGTGTTCATGTTGGCTTTTGTTTTTCACTGCCGCTCATTTTCACCTTTCTGGCCGCTAACATTTCTCATTTTCTCACCGCCGCTTTAAATTTCCAAATTTTCTTCCTACGAAATTCGTCTCCTTTGTTTTCAATAACTCACTCTAGCTCTTTCTCTGTTATCCACGTTAGTGTAAATACAAAAAATAACGCCGAAAAAGACACGACTTTGTTGTTGTTTGTTCTTTCTAAAAGTCCGGGCGGCCATGTGGTTTCCTTCCAAATAAAACCTTGAGTTGCATTTGCGTTGCCATACCTGTTGATTGAGTTATTTTACATTGGTATGCCTGTGGTGCGGAGGGACGGTCGGGCGGTCGGTGTACGGTCACGTGATTACCAAATTTTCTCGGAAGGATAGATTACCACATTTCCTTAACTATAGGCCTCCACCCTCGATCACTGTTTTACAACGACAATTTCACTGTTAGATTGACCGACTCCCCAGTTAGTGATCGTTCCGATACACAGTTTCTCGGTCGGGTCGTAAGATATATAAGCTCGTAGTCCAACAAACTATGCTTAAATATTCGTTGAAAAAGTTTCTTTGTTCATTCGGTGTACTTCAGGGCTAAAAATGAGTGGAACTGTCGTGCAGTATTAACTCAGCAGTTAACTGCTTGGGTTTGTGTCAGAAACGACCGTTTCCATTTCATTTTATCGACTATGAGCTAAATTTATCTGTCATGGGAGGTTTGTAACCGTTCCGGGCGGAAAAGGGAAGTTTTTCACTGTTATTGTATCGGCGCAGTTAAGTAACCTATATATTTTCGTTGCTATTTGTATGAGAGAAAGATTTCCATACTGCGTTAGAGTAAAACATCTCACACACCCCAGGCACTTGCACAATTAGCGGCCTGTGTACTAGCCAACAAGTAGTCAACGAGATATTATGCGTATGAGGCTGCGTGGTAATCTTTCTATGAATTTACTGAATTGATAACTCAGACAAAATAAGACATCCTTTACAGTCTTTTATTAATTTGAAATAAAATTAGGCAGAATTTTGAGAAAAGCATATTTACCATACCACCATTTTTTTGGACACAATATTACATTAGCTTCAGCGAAGGCCTTGTTAAGTATGTCTCATTATTCTTTACGACCAAGTCTTCTCGGCAACGATCAGTACTTTTTATCTACTTTTTTTATCTGTTATCAAGAACTACCTTATTATAGGAAATTAACGATGCACTTTATTAACGCGATTTTAAAAAACATCGCGTTAATTTAATACATCTTCATTTACGTCGATGTTAATTTAAATCACACCCGGGGGATACTCCTGGGAATTCTTGGTGGGGGTGTGCCGCCAAGTTCTCCAAATCCTGACCCTATTTCAGATCAAAAATGTTACTTTCAACACCCGTTTTCAGATCAGACCTCTAAAATCCACACCCATTTTCAGACCTGGCCTTTAGGCAGAAACTACGTTATCATTACTTAGAGCGCAAACAAAACAATTCTTAAATCTATTTCGAATTCACATAGTTCTCTTTCTTTCTTTCCTATTTGGAATTGAAACGATAAATACGTGCATACACTCCCGTAGTTCCCTCGAAAGCCATACCCGATTTCAGACCAAATAATGCGCAAAAACCCTAACCGACGGGGCGGCACATACCTATTTAGCTTATATAAGGGAGAACAAACAGAATACAACACAAAACACCCCCGAAAACCACACGCTCATCGCCCTTTCTCTCAACCCCGTTACTTTTTTTCTTCATTTTCCCCATAAACAACAACTCTGATATCTTTACATTTCCCCTACCTACAAATCTGAAACACCACTC